CTTTCTTGTGTAGCTCACAAACAGGAAATGCAAGCTGTACTACTGAAAAATGTAAGTATTTTATGAGAGCATGAAAGACTAAACACTGACCAAGGAATTACTAATAAGTGATAATAACAAAATTTCAGTGAATGGAGAATTAGAAGCTAATGAACCACATCTCCTCTTCTCTTTTTCTGTGCATGACCCTTTATAACCTCCATAACTCGGGCTCTGACTAGAATGAAGGTACTGGAGCTTGGGGAAGGAGAGTGAGAAAGGTGGACTACAAGATTATATGACCAGAGGTAAAAAAACCACTAAATGAGGAGAGAATTCCTAGTTCCCTCCTAAAAGAGAACTTTTAGTTAGGAGAACTATCAGCTGGATACTCCCCAAAGCATCCCAACCGCTCCAGGCAAACTGGCCTGTTTAACCTATGCTAATGATATGGCAGGGGTATTAATTGTGGGTAAGAAACCCTCCAGGGGAAGTTGTTAGAGGAGTGTTACAGGGAAGACAAGGTTACCAAGGACACAACTGAAAAGCAGCTGAAGAACATAATGTGGTACCAAGAATTAATGACTATGACCTGTGTTTATGGATTTCAACATACTTTTTTCATATTCATAATGTTTGCTCTTTGTTGTCATGGAGTAAGTCCCAAACTGAGCTGTGCTGGCAGTCAGCAGTACCTCCCCCACTACAGTGCTGATATAGGTGAGAATACAGAGATACAGGTGCCCTTATACCCTGGCACTGGTGACCACTGTTATATGGTCCTATACAATGTTCATCTGTAACGCCATTTATATCTACTTTACTTGTTCTGCCATAGCATCACCCAGAAGAAGATACTGGTAAGACAGATGATGTGACTTAACTCTTATTTCAAGCAGATAGATCTACAAGTAGGTGATAATGTATCCTCTGCTCTTCATCCCTCTATTCTTTCCTCTGACTTGGTCTTCAGGCTTCAACAGAGGGTGGTCGAGTTTTGTTGCTTTGTTTTGTTTTCTTAAATGAACTGCTACTCTTACTGTGAGAAGCTTTAAATTCCCTGAGGCTGATTTAACTTCAAAATCCGTGTGTACAGCTCTTACAGTTGGAGGAAGAGAAGTGTGAGGTGAATGTAAGTGTCATCTTACATTCTTATGCATTTTTATGTGTGGATTCCATCAACTTAAGCATTCCCACTTTGTACGTTAATGTTGACCTGCCAGTGTAGACACTGATATGAACCATCTGACTGTAGAAATCTGTAATTTCTCACAGGAGAGGAGCTTTCCCCCTCAGCTCTTCTGATTGCATACACCTGTCACAGCTCCTGAAGGGAACTGTGAGGAGCCAACAACAGATAGACGAGGGATGGCCAAGGATCACGGAGTTCATTCTTTTCATTCATGTACATGGGTGCAGGAGAGAGACATGGCAGGGAAACAGTAAAAGCAAAAAATGGAGTAACCTGTAAGGATGATTAGTTCCTAATGCTCTTTCTAGTAGATTTTTTTCCTGTAGAAGATCTTCATTATTCAGAGGACGGATACAGTTGTAGATACTGAAAACTCACAAATTTTTCACTTAACAACACAACAAAAACTTTACTATCTGCAAGGGCATGCCCCCTTTTTTTCTTAATCATGCCTGATGTCTCTTTTTCTGGATCCCATTTTTAATTAGCACAAACAGATAACTGAGGAAAGATCAGGACTGGGGAGAATACAATCTTATTCAGCTGCAGTTCTGACTTATATATTTTCCAATAGATTTTTTTCCTTATCTTCTGGTTGGTGGGGCCTGGAGGAAAGGGGAGAACCGATGCTTTTTCACACAGAGCTTTTTTCAAGGCTAATCTGCTAGCACGATCCAATTCTAAAGCCCCCACATGGACTTCCAAAGCTGGAACTTGCTCCAGCTTTTAAGAAAAGCAATTCAATAATCAGCAATTTTATATCAGTGGTGAATTTTTCTCCCTCTCTTCTATGTATTTATGTATTACGATACAACATAAATTCCTATATTCTCCTAAAATAGAAGCAAGTCAAAGATAAATATTTAATTTACATATAGATTAGGACAAGCCTTAGTGAAGGCCATTACTGTTTGGTGGGGTTGCATTTTCACATAACAAGGGACAGCCGAATCAATCATGAATGCCCTCCCTGTCCCAACATAGACCAGGGAGACTTTCAATTTTATAACCCCTGACACGAACCAGGTATGTCTCCACTGACTTTAAAAGGCTTTGGCTGAGGGTACAGACCTCTTAGAGCACTGGTTGGCAGTTCATCTCTTATAGGCCCAACCAGATCACCCACATTAAAAAAAAAAAAAAATACAGTCACTGGTGGGGCATTTTCCAAGACTGCTTTAGCAGCTCACCTTGATTTCACAAAATAGTCTGAATCACAGGATCACAGAATCATTTAGGTAGGAAAAGACCTTTAAGATCATGGAGTCCAACCACATTTATGTACCTATGTAACATTTAACTTCATGGCAGTATAATGCACTTAAAGAGAACTTAAAGGAAAAATGCTGCTGTTGTTAATGCAGTTTCTGCTGATGTCTGATTCACCTCAGACAGCAAAATCCATCTTTTCAATTAACAAGAAAACGGCTACAATGTACACAAATGTAGTGAACCATGTCATCAAAGTGCCAGGAGGGATGGAAGCTGAATAACCCTCCTCCTTGTTCCCCAGAATACACGGGCTTTTTGCACCAATTATATGTGAATTTGAAGTCCCAGTTAGGATTTTAAACACAGCACACGGTCAGGAAGAAAGCAAAGACCTTCCAGAGGAGCCAAACCTGGAATGTGGGCTATGCTGTAACAGAAGAGACTCACAGTGGGGTTTGGCTTGTTCCTCTCACAGGTTCCAGAGCCTTTGGAGCATCTCTCATGCTTCTTTATGACAGTGGGAGGTGACCTCTCAGCCCTCAGCAACGGGAAACCATCAATAAAGGCTCAAAATAGGAAACACCTTCAAAAAATTTAGGGGAAAAAAATAGTCTTTGCTGATCTTATCAAAGGAAAACCATTTGAGACTCCAAGCCTGTTCTTAATTTCCACTGACTCCAAACTAAGCACTTCTTGAAATGTTTTGTTGAATTGGGACTGAGTTAAGCATCTGTTTGACCAAGCAATTGCTTCCTTTAAGTTTCTGGATGTTCTCATCCTCCTTCCTTGAAGCAGGATTAAGACCTACAGTCATCCCTCTGGGATTATCAACAAAGTTAAATTTAATTTTTCATATTTAGAACTGGGGTTTTTTGCACCAGGATTATGTACTTCCCACTGTTGACATATGTGTGATACAATAAGGAAGGTAAAGAAAACAATGTATTATTACAAGTGGGAGGAAGAAAGAGCAAGGACCAAGCTAGGCTTCCAAAATTTCCAATCAGATATGCTCAGCCATGGAAGCAGAACCAGGAAAATTATAGATTGTACATATGCAGTACGTATGCAGATTTTTGCGTATCAGGGACCTATGGAATCCAAATTTGCCAAAGTAGTGGACAATTCCAAGCAGATACACATTGTTATGTGCATGAAGTTGTATCTTTTAACTAGTTTTCTAGGTGAATAAAGTTTATCTACTTGTGTTGTGTATTTGTTCACTTGTCAGTCGTCTAGTAACTTTTTAACTAGCTGATGTCCAATTTCCAGGTGCAGAGACACAAGAATGCCATAGACAAATAATCAATCTCTACCAGATCACAGAATAGGAGACATAGATAAAAAAATAAAGTTTATGTGCAAGTGTGGAAGGACTGAGGGTCTGAAATAAGGCACAGAGGGATATATGGATTTCTGGTGGGTGGGACCATTGGGGATCAGTTAAAGGCACCACTGGGAAGTTCAGGCCATTGACAGCAGAAGTCCCATGCACAGAGGGCATGAATCTGTGTAATTTGGCTTTACTATAACCCACACTGCTCACAGAGTTGCTTGTGAAAAGGAACAGATAGTGAAGATAAACTTCATTAATGTACAACTCAAGTGAAAATAAATATTTGCTTCAGAAGTTATACACTCAATTCAAAATTACTTACCTGTACGTTACAGTGGTTTAGATGTGGTCTCTAAATAGCCAGAAAAAATATCCACCAAAAATCAGTGTTTCAAATCTCACATCAGCAACAAAGGCTGATAAGGTTATAAATAATAATGCAATAATAGTTTTAGTGGAAATATATATATGTATATATATATATATATGTTCCAGTTGATGTGAATGTCAGGTTCTCTTAAACAGCCAAGTATTTAAATGCTAAGAATGGGATGTGAGAAAGTTTTCTTACCTGTTTTTGGTACCATTTAGCAGTTTATATCTTGAAATCATAATCCTGCATGCTGCAGGTAATCACACAATCAAAAACATGTGAAGGAGAAGTCATTTTATTGATGTCCGTGATCAGATCTGAGCTGACGACAAGTGCAAAAAAGTTCCACAAAATCATAAACAATATATTTTCCATGGCTAATGATACTTGGCTGTAATGGAGCTAATGACTCTTAAATTAATGCAAAATAAGGAAAATCACTCAAGAATCAGATCACCTTGCTCTTAATTGTCTTTATTTCTGTAGACATGTAGAATGTCCTTCATAATTTCCTTCTGACCTGGAAGTACATCTCTGGGGACTTCTTCCTATGTTCAGACACACCTATATGCATATTCCATGTGTGTAAGTAAATGAACCACCCTCTTAAAGTGGGTTACAGTATTTAAAACCAGACTACTTTAGAATAGCAGTGATAATCCATAATATGTTTTAAGAATTAAAAAACCCACAAACCAACCAAAAAAACCCAAAACCCTCTCTGTGTTTAGTGGATGTAAAAAACAGGAAATAAAATGAGATTTGGGGTGACATTGGAACGTCCCTTGTGGGTCCCTTCCAACTCAGCATATTCTGTGATTCTGTGATCTTGAAAGTACAGGAAAGCCCAACTGAAATGCAACATTTATGTCAATTAACAGAGTAATTTATACCATTTTTCTACTTACAGCAGACATGAAAAGCTCTCCACCGAGATTCTGGATTTCTGCTTTAACTTGACTGCAGATTTTGAGCTGGTGAGAATACAGCTTGATCTGTTCTAGGTAAGCCAATAAATCCTGTTTGCATGACTGGTCTGGACACTGAAAAGAACAATAAGTAAAGCATTTCAGCTATTGCTGATTGTCGTGGTTTTGCTTTGGGTCAATTTGCTTTCCACCCCCCCACACAATTACTACTAGTTGAGAGAAGGTTTTTTGCAGACAAAAGAGAGACAGGATTTGGGGAAAATAGTATAACATTTATTACTAGTAAAACAAAAACTACTAATAAATTAAAAACTAAAGAACTATATCTACCACAATTCCTACTCAACTTGAAGTGCTATATATTTACAGAAATACTTCTTCCCTTTTTATACTAGTCCAAGGAGAAGAAGTAGTCTTATTCTCTATTTATGGAGTTCCAGCTCTCTTTCTCTCTAGTAATAAATCTTCAGTAGCAGCAGTATTCTTGTTGCAGCTGGAACTTTTTTTTCTCTCTCGTTCTGTGTTGGCTTCCAGGGCTGGGCTTACTCCCCTCCTGGGCTAAGACCGAAGGCTGGAGGTTACTCAGGTCCCGAAGGGTCTTCCTTCCATAGGCTTGAAGGGGACACTTGCTTACTGTGGATCTTCTTCCACAGGGTTACAGAGGATAATGGCTTAAGAGTTCACCCCTGTTTCCCTATGGAGGTCCCTCCCCATGGGAGAATAGTCCTTGATAGACTTCTCGGCATGGGTCTAGCACGGATCCACACACACACGGATCCCAACATCTCACATGGGCCGTCTCGCTCCAGCATGAGATTTCTCAGGGTCACAAAATCTTCAACAGCAGTATGGATTCACACACACACGGATCCCAGTATCCCACCTGAGTTGTCACTGCTCCAGCACAGGTTTCCCTCAGGGTCACAAATCTTCATCAGGACTCTGCCTCACTTCAGTCTTTCTCATGAAGTCTCGGTTCTCTTTGGTGTATCCACAGACTCCTCTATCAGCCGCATGGGGGGATCTCCTTACTCCAACCAACTTTTATAAGTAGCAGGGTTTACTTTTCAGTCTTTTCCCTGCTGAAGAGAGAGAGAACAAAAGGGGGAAGAAGCAGCTCTCCCCCCTTCAAACTTTTCGTCTCTCTCCTCCGGCTGCTAGTTTTGACCTTGGAGGTCCCTTATCTTTTCGCTGGAATTCTTCCACAGCGGTTTCTGTCCAAGCAGTTCATCTTTTAAACTTTTTCTTTTCATTCTCTTACAAGAGAGAAGGGAGGACTTCAGTGCTGCACCTGCTCCCCCCACCCCGGCCCAAGCCGGGGGAGGAGGGAGTCTGGCCCTGCTCGGGCCCGCTACTCCTCTCCCCTACATGGCTGCTGCTCTTAATTTTAACTGCGCCAACAACCTTCTCTTCCGTTTTCTTGAAGATGTAATTAGCAAAGGCGTCACTGGACTTTTGATTGGCCTTTTTGTCCGGAAATTACCTGGAAAAAACCATCCTCAGCCCCAGGGATGGGCTGGTGAGCAAAACCACGACACTGATTCAAACATGTCTCAGGAATCATTTCAATACTTCACTGGGGAGTATTCAAATTGTACATTAATTTAGCCTTGTCTTTCACTGCAGCTGTATCAGGCTGCATAGTTCAATCCTGTTGTGAAGGTTTTTAATGTAATAATTGGAAGATCAGAATAATCCTAAAATTCCTCATATTCACTTTTTAACACTGCTGCACTTGCCTTAGCAATATTTCAAAACACATTCTTTACTGTATGGAATAATTAATTTTCCTTCAACTCTGTAGCGGTTATGATTTCTATTTAAGAAAATACCTACACCAACAGTGATGTGGGGAGTATAAACATGGATTTTGTGGGCAAATGTAAACACACATGCAGAGACATTTACATGTCAGGGGTGGACCAGAAGAGGCCTACAGAGAGTGGAGAGAGATGCAAAAGAGCTGCAAGGAAGGCTCAGAAGAAAAGATCTATCTAGAAGACTTCTAGCAACTGCAGCTGCGCAGAACTGCTTGGGACCCAGCTACAAGGCCGCAGCCTTGCAGCCTCAGCAGATTCCCCTGTCTGTGCACCCAGGCCACTCCTTCCATTCTTCCCTAGCTCTCCCTTACCCCTGAGTGACCAGACATATTCCCTGCAGCCTATCTCCCCAAGTCCCCTTATCACTGAACCTCAGGATTTGATGTTTCCTAGCAGAAACTCTCCTCTATTCCCGAAACTTCTGTATTCCCCTGTATATAAACTGTCATCTTGTTTTAATAAATGCCATTTTGTGGGTCACATCTCATGTGTCCTATTTCCCATACAAAATGTGCCACTGGGTCTGCTGCGGGACAAACCCCCATCCACGATATTTACATATTATGCTTTATCTTGTAATATGAACTATGGGGTTTTTTTTTGTTCCATCCAGAGTGAATTTAACTTAATTCACAGATCATCTGTATCAGTGCGAACAGGAAAATAAGGTCTTACAGAAAACTCATTGATTTCAATACTTTTAACAATACAGATATATTTTTTAATATTATTTTTTAAAATAAAAATAGGGTCTTTCCAACCTCATTTTTGTGAACTGCCAAAATTCAATGAGTACTTGGAGAGGAATATTGCTCTGAGGTACCAGGCCAGACACCAAAGGCCATGTATGTGTTTGTTCTGAAGCTGCTTTTCACTGCTCTAGTAGAATAAAGGGATCTTCAGGGGAATGGTGAGTCTCTGTTGTGATACCACACCTGTAAAAAGTAAGTGTGATAAATAAACAATGGATTCCTACAGTTTCTCAGAGATGTGTTTTTAGCCTGTGTACTTACATCAAAAATATGATCACTTTCTTCTGACAGGAAACTGTGTTCAGCTTTGCATATTAAAAAAGCAAATATACATTCCCACGAACTGCACTGTCAATGATCAGTCAACGATCTCTGTTTCTATATTTATGGTTTTATTTAAACTTTTGATCTTATGGAATTGTGGTCAATCGATTGAAATCCAAAACCTGCCAGAAGTCAGGAAAAGCACTGATTCTACTTAATTCATGAAATGTTTTTTTACTTGTGTTGCTGAAGAAATCTGGTACGTGTTTAAAGGGGTGGTATGACAATTTTATCTTCCTGGCTCTGCAATGTTTGGTTAAGCAAAAAAGGTCATGTTTTAGACTTAGGAAAAGGTAAGAGTAAGTGTGGAAGGCCAGAGTGAACAATTTAATATTAATTAATATGACTTGGATATCAGTCCTTACCGTGTGTTCTGCTACATCTCTTACTAAAATGTTTTCTGTGCTTTGGCACAAAACAAAACTAGCTTTGTTTTTTGTTTTTAGAACAAAACCAGAAGTCTTTCTTGACATCTCTTGCTGTATGTGATGTTTTCAAAGTGTTACCATGTATACTAAAATATGTCTTTCTTTCTTCCTTAGCACTGCTTTAAATAACTGTCCAAATCAATGTTTAAATACTGGTATCTCACTGACTGCTTAGAAAATACTCCTTGTGTTTTTTATTTTAATTAATGAAAATTTATACTTCCAGTCAAATACAACTGTAATACCCTTAAGAGTCAGAACTAATTATATCAACATGAGGTATATTCCTGCAAAGAGATTCCTTCTCCTTCCATTTTTCTTTCCTTAATAACACTGTGACTTTGTCCCCTCAGCCAGAAAACCTCAAGAGAAAGGTATATAGGGTGGTAATACGCCAATATAATGTCTCATGCACTTAAAAAAGTGACAGTGTCAGTTAGAGAAGTGCAGTGAAAAGAATAATTATCATGGCTGGGCTTCATGAATGAAGATTTGAGAAGGGCTCTACCCACGCTTGCTACAAGCCTGCTGATGGCTAAAAAGGCCAATGTGAGACAGACAAGTCTGGTTGCAGAAGGCACAGCATAAAGACTCCCCAGGTGATATCGATGAGACACGATTCTTTCTGCATTGTCTTTTCTCCTCGAGAGTGATCCTGCAGGTGTTCTCAAAAGAAGCAGCAGCGTTATAGATGGTGTGTCTCCAGGTCTCCCAATTGGAGGCCGGGGTAGACCAGTGGTGGTGATCAATATGGCCAAGGCTGAGGGATTGTTTCAGGCAGCCCTTGTATCTCCTCTTCGGGACACCTCTCTTGTGGCAGCCAGCGGCAAGTTCCCCATAGAGCACAATCCTAGGGAGGCGGTGATCCTGCATCGTGAAGACGTGCCCTGCCCAACGCAGCTGAGTTCTCAGCAGCAGGGCCTCAATGCTCGTGACTGCTGCCTGTTCAAGGACAGACGTGTTGGTCACATAATCCGTCCAGTGGATGTTTAGGATTGTACAGAGGCAGCGCTGATGGAAGCGTTCTAAGAGATGCAAGTGGTGGCGGTAAATGACCCATGATCCAGACCCATATAAAAGAGTCAACAGTACAATGGCTCTGTAAATGCTGATCTTTGTGCTTTTCTTCAGGTATTTGTTTTGCCACACTCTTTTATGGAGTTTACCAAAAGCTCTGTATGTCTTTGCTAACCTGTTGTCTATTTCTTCATCAATCTTACTGTCTGAGGAGATGATGCTTCCCAGGTAATTAAACTGCTGGACTGATTTGAGCTCTGTTTCACCAATGGTGATATGGGGACGATGGGAGACTTCCTGAGGAGCAGGCTGATAGAAAACTTCTGTTTTCTTCAAACTGACTTCCAGCCCAAAAAGCTCAGCAGCCT